GCTATATATCATTAGATTATGATGTTATTATAGGCTAATGTTTGTATTAGTTGGTGATGACTTTAAATTATGTATTATTCCATATATTATTACTTATTTTAATGGGTTGTCTACTATCAGTTAATTGTCTTGTTTTTCTAAGTTGAAAATGACCGAATAAGGTCAACAAACCCCTTTTTTTCATTAATTGATACATAAAATGAAATAAATTAAAAAACTGCATATTTACTCTTATTAGTTGATACTTAATTTAATCTCAAGATATAGAAATTCGTTTTCATACTAAATTTAATATAATGTTTTTTTTATTAGAATTCAATATTTATATAGTATCTCTATATTTCTTAGATATATATATTTAATATTGTCAATTTTTTAATCTTATAAACAAATATTTTGCCTCATAGAGTAAATAAGTCCTTCGCACTACTACTGTTCAAATTCATTTCTAAGTTTGTGATTATTTTGGCAAGATATAAATAAGTTCAATTAAATTTAAATAAATCAAAAAGTAAAAAATCTAAAAACAATCCAAATTTGTCTTTACCTGTATATTCTATTCATTTTAAAAAATATTGATCAAGATCAACAGAACAATACTACATTAACACTATAATGTCTTGTTTTTGTTTTAGTATCCGTCACATAATAAACTATGTAATGTCCTTCACTTTATCGTAAGTTTTCATGTATTTTTTCTCTGAATATTCTTACATTTTTAGATTATGGAGGACAGACGTTCATATTTGATCAGATGAGTCTAACTTCAACTTATATTATCACACATTTTATCAGTCAGTTATTTACAAAAAAGGAAATAATTGATGATCAACACGAAACATTTAATCAATGAATGAAAATCATTAAAGGCGACCAATCTGCACCACAGAAAACAACGCTATTTATTTGAATATTGTTCTGAACTACGTTAGCTTTATCTTTTTGTAAAAGTTAAGTGAAAAATATCAGAAGGCAATAAATATGGATCAATTCAAGAAAGAGTCTGATTGATTTCGTATTCGTATCTGAGCCATTTAGCATGAGCATCAGTGACAATAATGAACACTATGAAGAATTTATGAACACGTTTCGATCTAATTATTCGGAATGTATTCTTAAACCATTCTCGTCTATCTGAGATAAGCAAAAGATGAAATGGCACAATCCTGGAATCTTCAAATTTAAGAATTCTTTGCCATGAAAAATAGCTGAGCAATCTGAAGCATAAGTACAAAATCTTGAACTTTTAAGTACTAATGTGTAATTAACACTAATTAAATTGATTTAATAATGTTACATGAAACTGATAGTTGACTCAAATAAGTTACATAGATGCAAAAGAAAAGAACAGCAATTTATAAATTAATTGTAAACAGAAGTGCTAGTTACGAATATACAAGCAAATGACGTAGATATACACTATAATTTAAATATTCCATAATAGGTTCAATATTTTTTTGCTCATAACAATCTTTTTATTTGATAGCCTTAATAACAAAAAAGATATTTTAATTTTTAACGATATATGCATATCAAAACAAAACAACCCATATTTATAATAATCTAGAGATTGCTGAATGATTTCTACCTATTATTTCTTTGATATCTGTTTAACTTATTCCTGTCAAATAGTACTTTTAACAGAGTCAAGCTGTTGTTTTTTTTTATAAATTTTTTCGACTAATTTTCGTAGTAATCAGTTTTTACTCGTTCAACTTTAATAGATATACGCAGAAATGGTTATAATCTTGGTCGAATCGCATCGAATACGAGTGAAGGTTTTCTTATTCGTTTCGATCTCTGTCACATAAACGCTACTATGGGTCAGATCAATATCTTGTATATCAATGGCTTGATTGAGAACGATTGAATAGAATGTAAGTCACTTTCTTTTTGCTTTGAGTATCGTATCCTTTCGTGCACTCGGTAATGCATTCATTGAAGCGAATCATCATATACTCACAATCGTTACTTTTCGCTTTCTTTTTACTATTCACTTAAAAAAATGCAACGACCAAAAACGTTTTTTAAAGTAGCTATTAACGGACAACCACAGGGAGTTATCATTTTTGAGGTTTGCTTTCTTTGATTTCAATATTAGTCCCATTTTTTTTCTTAATGTTTAGCTTTTTTCCGATATTGTACCAAAAACAGCAGGTAAATAGTTTCTATTATTCATGTAACAAATGGATCATTAAAATTTTTCTTTTAAGAAAACTTTCGACAATTATGTACGGGTGCACGAGGCTTTGGTTTTCGTGGTTGTCCATTTCATCGAATTATTCCTCAATTTATGATTCAAGGTGGTGATTTTGATATACGTGATGGCACAGGAGGTTAATTCATTTTAGAATTGTTTCCTATATTGGTATCTTTTCAGGTCGAAGTGTTTATGGTGCCAAATTTCCTGATGAAAATTTTGCTTTAAGACACGACGTCCCATTTTTATTATCAATGGCAAATTCAGGCCCAAATTCAAATGGCTCACAATTTTTTATCACTGTAGCTCCTGCACCATGGTATAGAAAATCAAAATTAACTTCGTTTCTTTTTTTTTTAAATATGATCATATTTCGTAGGCTTGATGGTAAACATGTTGTATTCGGGCGTGTTCTGCAAGGTCAAGATATTGTCAAAAAAATGGAAAGTTGTGGTTCACAAGAAGGTACACCACGAGCCAATGTTGTCATAGCGGAATGTGGTCAAGCATAAAAGAAAAAAACTGGTTTTATTTATGATAAGAAGGAATAAAATAATTCTTAGGTTAATAATAAAAATAAAGAGACAGATACAAGAGAATTTTCATCTATATACTCATAATAGTACAAACATATCAAAGTTGACTTTATGCTGAGATGGAAGCTATAAATTCGTTGACTAAATGGAAACCTAATTTTCAATATAGAATATATAACTAATTTCCATTCACTAAATAATTCACATTATCCTTTACGTTTTACTCGAATAGATATGACGATCTTCAGATACTGAAACATCATATTCTACAGTTGTAATATGATGAATACATTTATCTGTAGAACTGTGTCCTTGAACTTTTAATCTGCAATTAATATTAACAAAATTAGTATATGAGCCCATTCCAATTCAAGAAAAATTACAACTGATGAAAACTAATATCAAAATAAAACTTACTAAGAAATCGATCTTAATGAATTGTAACTTCTTATTATTCGTGAAATTAATTAGATCTCGATAAGATTAAACAAAGTATAAAAGTATGATGGTTCGTAATAATTCATCCGGAGTTATGGCCGTCGACTCAATCGTACAATAACGTATTTTGATCTAGAAGATCTTCACTTGATTTTATTTTGCTCGTCTTAAGAAAGAAAACCTATGAATTTTAATCATTTTAAACTTTTTCTAATCTCATTGATATTGACTCTCACTGATAATTCGATATCACAAATTGTAAGACAGTTTCCTTGTTAGAAAAAACAAGAAAAAGACTTTAATCAGATTTTCAATCTATTATTTTTTCGTTTGTCCAACTAGTGATCATTACCAGGTGAACCAAAAGTTTTGCGACATTTCAGAAAAATCAATTTATTTGAAGAGAAAACAAAGTAATAAAATAATAATATCATGGTTCAAAAGCTACAAGAGAGTACTACTAGAATTAACAATGCTCATCTATAATCAGTTCACCATCATGTTTTTCCATTGAATACACTCGTCGAAGGAAAACACCAATTACTTCATGTACGTAAGTTAGATCAACTTTCTTTATCGCTTTTTCGAATTCTCGACATAAATCATTGATTGTTTTTACTTTGTTATATGTCGCGTGATTTGAGATGTTATTCCGGATGGAATAATCCAACGGGTTAAGTTCTGGAAAATTAGGCGGTCATCTTTCTTTCGAGATGAAGAATTTGAAGTTATTTTTTGCACCATTTTTGAACTTTTTGACCGGTATGTGAGCTAGTCCCGTCCTGTCGGAAGACCCAATTTTGGTGTTCAAATAGTCCATCACCTTCCTTTTTATAAAATGATAACAATTAATCATAATAACTTTGACTATTCAGCCATGCGCCTTTTTGAAAGAAGTATGGACGTGTGAGTTCATATCAGGTTACAACCAATCCAACCATAATGCACACCGGATATTTTCCATTAGATTTAATCCACCACATTCATTAGCATCAGATCGATTATCAGCCTATACAACATCGTTTTTGGATTAAAACGACCATTTTTTGTAAATATTTTTTCATCGGTGAACACCATTCTTTCTGATCTACCACGACTAATGTGCTTCCTAATCCATTGATAACATGTTTTTCTTATTGGTTTTTGATCTTCTTTTAATTTTTGAACATTAATTGTTCGAAAACATTTTTTATTTAAATCAAAATTGAGTATACTCGCTTGATGATTGTCTTACTACTTTTGAAGTCTTTAGCCATTGCTCGCATACTTTTTCGACAAATGTTGGAATCAAGCCTTTTTTTCACCAAATAGATGAGTTTTTTTGTACGTTCAGTTTTTGGTCTTCCTGACTTTGGTTTAGTATCAATTGAATCAGATTATTGATATCGACGTAGTCAACGATCAATTGTACTTCGATAAACCCTGTTTGCCAGTAATTTAGCAATTTCTGTAGCTTTCTTCCCATTTTTGTAGTGGGAAATAGCCACATCTCGTAGATCCTGACTCTTAACCATCTCAAAATCAACGCAAAGGAATTTAAAAAATATTTTCCTATCAGAATGATAAAGAACGTCAGTGTCCACTAAAATTATATAAAATAAACTGGTTATATCAATTAACTAATAGCAAAGAGAGACTTTTCAAAATGTCGCGAAACTTTTGGTCCACTCAGTATATGTGTTATTTGATAACTGAACGCAGTAAAACGAACTAATGAAGTGTAACCGACGTACGTTAAGTACATTTTTTTTCTCATTAATGTGAAGATTAAATCGCAAATAAACATATCATCACAAACAAGAAAGAAAATACAATAATAAACAAAGATGACATCACCTTCAGCAAATGTTGCTTGTGTATGGGGTGTGAATGGAATATCAGGCACAGCAATGATTGATGTATTAATTTAACAACCTCGAAATGAATGGAGTAAAATTATTTGTATTTCTCGACGATCAACACAATTAGATGTTGAAGATGATCGAATATATTTCATTTCCATTGATATTCTTCAAGCTAGTGTTGATGAAATTGTTACAGAATTATCTAAAGTAGGTGGAGAATCTATTACACATGTATATCATTATACATATATTGAAAAACAAGATGAAAAAGAATTAGATCAAGTCAATAAAATACTATTTCAAAAAGCACTTGATTCTACTGTTAAGATAGCTGGTAAATAAATTAAATGTGTTTTACTTCAAACAGGTTATAAAGTAAAAAGAAATTCTTAGGAATTTAATTGAAATTTATAACATTATTGTTTTGTTTCTAGTATTATAGTGTTCATAAAGGTGGTGAATATCTTGCATTTTGTCCTTTCACTGAAAATTCTTCTCGTCATAAAAGTTCGAATTTTTATTATATACAAGAAGATCTTCTTGAAGAATATGCTGGAAAAAATAATTGGAAATATATTATCACACGACCTAATGTTATTATTGGTGTATCAAAAGGAAATTTTATGAATTTTGCTATTACTCTAGCACTTTATGCTTGTATTCAAAAAGAAAAAGGTCAACTATTAGTTTTTCCTGGTAATGAAATTGCTTGGAATTCAATAATTGATCATTCAGATGCATTAAATAATGCACATTTCCAATGATGGTCATCAACAAATGATAAAAATCAAAATGAAATATTTTATATACATAATGGTGATGAAGTCAGATTTCGAACATTATGGTCAAAAATTGAAAAGTAATATAATTTAGTTTATACTAGATTTTTTTATAAGTTAAATTTTACATTTTTTTCATAATTTAAATATTTTGGTTTTCCTCCTTATGAACAAAAATTCAACATACAAAAAGATATTAAAATAGGAGATATTGGTATTTCGCAACTATCTCGTGCGAAATATATGCCAGAAAATGAAGATATATGGCATCATCTTGCTCAACGTAATCAACTTGATGAATCAGCTTTTAAATATGCTAGTTGGAACTTTTTTGATGAGTAATAATTTATTTTTATTCAGCGTTAATCAAATTTGAAAAATTTTCCTGGTTAGATTTCATTCTTGGTCGAACATTTGATGATCATGGTGATATGACTAAAGCACGTCGATATGGTTGTTCAATGTTTTGATCGACTGAAAAAGATGAAAGTTATTCCATCAAATTAAATTTTATTGATTCTACTTTTTAATCGAGCTTTTTCTTTGTAAAACATATACTCATGCATGTTGGTAGTTTAAGAATAAGAATATTAACCAATCCAAATTTTTATTAAGAAAAATAAAAATATTTATTTTTCAGTAATGTTATCCATCTATTGATTTGAAAACAGTCTTTTGTGTGTAAAAAAAACAAATCATATAATTGAAACAATTCTTTTTATATGGCAATAAACTTTGTTTCTTCTTTCGTTAGTATCGATCGAAAAATTCAAGTATATTATTACTTATAAAAGAAACAATATTCAAAACAAGAATATTTAGAAACTTTAAAAACAGAAAAAAACTAAATTAGACTTATTTTAGATCTCATTGATTTTACTCTTTGACGAGTCACAAGAAAAAAAAATGAAACGTAATATCTGTATAATAGGACTTATTCATTAAAAATAAGAGTATTTTGAAAATAAACAATAATGAAAAAAACATACGTATTTAATTCATCATTTAGGAAATATTTAACTATTTTTAGAATATTCTAATAGAAAGAAACAGAAAGACTGTTATCGTTCATTTTTAATGATTGATTTTTTTTCGCCATAAAGAAAACTGCTTCTATTTCACTTTAAAAGTAAAAAAAATTGGCGAGATGCAATATTTTCGCTTGACAAAATCAAAATTTTCACATTATTTTGCTTTTCTTGAAAAAGGAGTCTTTGACAAAAAAAAGTTGAGCGTTGTCCCTGTTTCCTAAGCAAAGTACATTCGACTCCATTGAAACATTTGGGTATGGATGAAATAGAGACTTCGCCCACACCCCGACTCACCACACTCATACCCTTTGTCATCTAAGATTTTATCTTTTCCTGCTAACAAAAAAATTCAATTTTGACCGCAGTATATGTATAACATCGATTTTATTCCAAAAATGAAGAAGAAAACACAAAATAACATGAATGATGAAAAATTGGAAGGTTTTCAATTTCAAGTTTTTTTTCTTTAAAATACTCAAACGTAAAGCATAAAATCTCAAAAAATCAATACACTACCCATTATGTCCGTAGATATTTATAGAAATTCAGTTATTCGATTTACATTAATGTAAGATAAAAAGAATTCTTTTCATTCATTGTATTCAATCATAATTTGAGATTAAAAAGAAAGCTTTAGGAACAGTGTTAAAGAACAAAAACGAATATAGTTGCAACAGTGAAACGATCCAAAAATTTGACACAATTGCTATTGAAAAACTAATAACATCGCCCATATACACTAATTTTTATTAGTTAAATGTAGCATATTCAAAATCGTTTTTTTCATTATAAAAATAAAAATCAAATTTTATATAATGAAAAATCAGTTTTGTGAAACGAATCACTCTTATATTTCAAGCCATCTTTTGTATTTATGTAGCACTTTGTGTACATTTATATCTAGATACTACTATATGCATATCTCTATCTCGTCAGTTGAAAGGCAAGTGAATCAAGTCTCAATGAACGTTACTTGTATATTTAATCGAAATTCTATTTCAATAATGTAGAGAGACTTAACTTCAGGTTTCTTAAAAATTATGATAAGATAAGAATTCATATTAGAAATGAAATCGCATCAAAGTGAAAGCTTTCCAACTAAAAACATAATTGCACATTATAAATTACGATAGAAAGTAATCCAATGAATTTTTGTTTATTTTTTTTTTTTAAATCTTTTCCAATTCATTCGGCTTTTCTTATTGTATTGCTTAGTTCATCTTGTGGTTATTCTATTTCTTGATGTATGAACACACTGCAACTAACTCATCAAGTGTAAAACTATGTTCTGATGAATAGTAACAATTATCTTTGGCTTATTTAATGCAATGTATCAAAGCTCCAATACGAGAATTCATAGATGCCAATGTTTTTCTATCCGAGAAAAACAACTCTTTCGTTTTGCTAGCCGTTAATAATTGAAAACTTTTATTTTGAGAAACAATATCTTTAGACCGATCGATTGTTTGTATTTATTTTGTTTTGTCAGATATTCGAATTATAGATTTGAATTCTTTAAAATGCTATAAAGTAAATATTGTGTCAATAAGGATCAATGTAAGACAAAACTATGTTTCACATTTGTATCCATATGCTAATACTTCTAATTAATCTATGTAAAAAGTAAATCGATTTATCTTATAGTTTTATTTTATGAAGACAAAATAAAGAGAATGTTTTTTGACGGTCAAAATCAAATTAAAAATAGCAATACTGTTATCGATCCGTATATACTTGGATTCAGTAGCTTAAAATGTTCTGTAAATAATCCTTTTCATGTCATTCATTTCCGGAAAAACAATAATGTTTATATATATATTAGATAAGACATTCAAGAGACAAAAATGACATACTAACATTGCTAATGTATGTAAATCAACATACACATTAGAGTGTAACGTTAAATATAAAATAGTATATTTTTTATGATCTGTGCAAATAATACGTTTTTAAATTTAGTCTTGTAAATAATAACTGAGTTTGAGTTTAAAATATTAATCACCAAGAATTTTCGATTACGATTTCAACTTGTATTTTAGTACAATTTAGTAGCAAACAACACACACTTCTAACCGAAAAACTAGTCCTAATTATGGAATTATTGGTAAGTAATAATCAATTAATATAAAAGCAAGTATTGAGTTATATTATCTTTTGAATCCTGAAAGACAAAGATTATTGCTTTTGGAAAATTTATATGAAATTTATTTATTTTATATTATTAAATTCAAATAATAGTGGTTTAAGATGTTTAAAGAGTATAAATGATTGAAATTTTCCAAAACCTTGTTAAAAAATCGAACTAACAGAGTCATAGTAGCTTACGTAAACTATAACGCCTAGTTTTCTATCATTCAAAATCTTGAATTAAATAAAAAAAGTTGTAAATAATGCAAATTCGTTTTATAATTTCAAAGGTTTTAATCCATAAATAATATCATATAAGAAAACTTAAACATAAAGATTCGAACTTATTGAAGAATACATAAGAAGAAAAGGATAAGTTATTTTTTTAATGATAAAATCGTCATTCAATTGATAATTCCTTTTGTTTTCGTAAAACAATGTAATAGTACAAACTTCAATATTAATATAGAAACAAAATTGGTTATTGATGTTTATAAATTGAATACAAAGATGAAAGAGTCCATCCATAAAAGTCATTCAAGTAAAGATGGAACGCAGGAGGTCAGCAAAAACCTGACAGGAATCAGACACATCTGAACATCTCGATACTTATTATGATTTTTTTCAATTTTTTAAGAGCATTTTTGACGAAATTTTTGAAGTTATATTGGTTTTGATCAGCATTTTAGAAAGAACAATTTCTCAGAATTCTACCTATGACGCATCATTTATGAACAAATCATATATTTTAGTTATTTAATACAAAAAACGAGTATATTTGACCAAATAGATTCTTTCTAACAAAATTTTGAAAACTGGATGTCCTCAAGAGAGGAGATGGAAAAAGGCAATTTTTACCTGAACATCCTTTAATAGATAACTCCAAAGAGAGATATAATTTCACATATTTTCATTTAATCTATAATCTTGACTATTCTTTTTTTGAAAATCATATGTCTTTTTATAAGCAATAAATATATCAACATAAAATAATTATTTACCAATCGAATTTCATATATGATTTAATTTTTCATTTTCAAAGCATAATATTTTGTGTTTCTATTTCTTCTTGAACAACATACACGGAACATACACACGCACACACAGATACAGAAACAGACAAATAAAGGATTCCTATCTACAATAAACGATTTTGTCAATACCCCGAAAAACAAAAAAGATGAATATCAAAGACTGAATTGACAGAAAAAACAAAACAACAACAACATATAGAAATCGGTTTTTTTTTCTTTGTTTTCTCGAGTCATCTAAGACAAGATCAATCATGACTATTCATATGGCCTGTTGAAATATGTTATTCTTCCGTCTATCTGACACGAGTACGAAATAAATTTAAATTATGAAGAAAAACAAACGACGAAAAACAAAAAATACAGTCAGGTAGAAAGAGAAAGAGAGAGATTTAATTAAATTGTACATGAATTTTTTGTTTTCATTAAGCAACAATTATTGTTGAAGTTGATGTCGATGATGATACTGTTGATATTGATAATTGTTTACATCGTGCACATTTAAATTCTTCTTTTTTCTTAACACTTGTTAAACCAACACAAACAAGATGAAACCATCGTTCACATGCATCACAACAAACCCCTTTTACATTTTAATAGAAAATTTCGATAGAAAAAAAAAACAAATTCTTTTAAAATAAATGATATTTACATTTAATTGATGATCCACTAGGTTTTAAACATGTTCCACCATCAACTGCACATTCATCTTCAACTCCACCAACAATAGTTCCTTTTTTTATTTGATCATTATCATCATCTGATATAAGTAATGGATTATTATCATGATCAATAT